CTCTTACCAAAGCCAATGGTCAACTTTTGCTCATATCTTACTTGACTTCCCAGCAACATTTGAAACAGTTGACCAGCTTCTAGAACAGCACTCTAGCCTCACTAACTACTCTTCTCCAGTGTCAGCGTCTGGGTTTTTTCTCTTACTGGCCTCTAAATTTTAGAGTGTCCCAGGGCTTTTTCCTCACAAGTCTTCACTAAATTTTTTCCTCTTCATGGGTAACCTCATGCAGCCTCATGCTTCAGCCATGTAAATGTTGTTGCCTCTCAAAAGTTTATCTTCAGTAGGCTATTATCTTTTGCCACACACAAAAATAAACTCAAAATGGATTAAAGACTTGAAGGTAAAACATGAAACCATAAAACTCCTAGAAGAAAAATACACAGGATACTCTGTGACATCAGTCTTAGCGGATCTTTTCAAATACCATGTCTACTTTGTCAAGGGAAACAAAAGAAAAAATAAACAAATGAGACTTCATCAGAGTAAAAGCTTCTGCAAGGCAAAGGAAACCATGAACAAAACAAAAAGACAACCCACTAACTGGGAGAAAATATTTGCAAACCATATCTCCAACAAGGAGTTAATCTCCAAAATATATAAAGAACTCACACAACTCAACAACAAAAAAACAAACAACTCGATCAAAAAAATGGGCAGAGGATATGAAAAGACATTTTTCCAGAGAAGATATATGGATGGCCAACAGGCATATGAAAAGATGTTCAACATGACTAATCATCAGGGAAATGCAAATCAAAATTACAATGAGGGGCCAGCCCGGTGATGCAGCAGTTAAGTTCGCACATTCTCCTCAGCAGCCCGTGGTTCGTCGGTTCAGATCCCAGGAGAGGACATGGCACCACTTGGCAAAAAGCCATGCTGTGGTAGGCGTCCACAGCAGGTAGGTATAAAGTAGAGGAAGATGGGCATGGATGTTAGCTCATGGCCAGTCTTCCTCAACAAAAAGAGAAGGATTGGCAGTAGTTAGCTCAGGGCTAATCTTCCTCAAAAAAAGGAAAAAGAATTTTAAAAAATTATAATGAGACATCCCCCTGCACATGTGACAATGGTTATAATCACCAAGACAAAAAACAACAAATGTTGGAGAGGATGTGGAGAAGGGGCACCCTCATCCACTCCTGGTGGGACAGCAAACCGGCATGGCCACTGTATGGAAATTTCTCAAAAAATTAAAAATTGAAATACCATATGACCTAGCTATTCCACTACAGGGAATTTATGCAAAGAACCTGAAATCAACAATTTGAAGAGATTTATGCATATGTATGTCCATGGCAGCATTATTCACAATAGCCAAGACACGGAAGCAACCCAAGTGCCCATTGACTGATAAATAGATAAAGAAGATGTGGTCTACATCTACACTACTACTCAGCCATAAAAAAAAAGACAAAATTGTCCCACTTGCAACAACATGGATGGAAATTGAGGGTATTATGTTAAGTGAGATAAGCCAGACAAAGACAAACACCATATGATTTCATTCATATGTGGAAGATAAACAAATACATGGACAAAGAGAACAGGTTAGTGGTCACCAGAGGGGAAAAGGGTTGGGGGTGGACATAAGGGGTAAAGGGGAACATACATATGGTGACCAACAAATAATAATGTACGACTGAGGGGGCCAGCCCTGGGGCCAAGTGGTTAGGTTCAGTGGCCAGGGTTTGCCAATTCGGATCCTGGGTACAGACCTACACACCACCCATCAAGCCATGCTGTGGTGGCATGCCACACAGAAGAACTAGAATGACCTACAACTAGGATATACAACTATGTACTGGGGCTTTGGGGAGAAAAAAAAAAAGAGGAAGATTGGCAACAGATGTTAGCTCAGGGCCAATCTTCCTCACCAAAAACAAACAAATAAACAAACAAAACCTTTAAAAATATACAACTGAAATTTCACAATGTTATAAACTATTATGATATCAATAAAAAAAAATTTACCTTCAGCCCAGATATCTTCCCTATGATCCAAACTCATATGTTCAACAGTTGATTTGACATCTTTATTAGGATCTCCAATAAGTAGAGCAATCCACAGCACAGCCAAAGCAGAACTACTGATCCCCCTTTCCAAAAAATCAATTTCTCCTCAAAGCCTCAAACTTGAGAATCTACTTGATTCTTCTCTTTTCATCATACCCTTTATCAGCAAGGCCTAATAGCCCTATCTCGAAAATATACTCCAAATCTACTGTTCACCATCTGTACTGCTCCTGTATAGTCCAAGCTGCCACCATCTCTCCCCTGGAACCCAGTAACAGCTTTCTCACTGGTCTCTCACCTCCATTTCTGACTCTTATAACACAGTCCGTCTTCCACATAGCAACCAGTTATCTTTCTAAAATGTACATGAGATCATGTCATATCTCTATTTAAAGCTCTCTAAAGCCTTCACACTAAAATTAAAGTCCAAATTGTCCATTCTAGACTACAAGGTTCTAAATAATCTGCCTTCTGCCTAGCTCTCTCTTATTATCTCCACTCTCTTTTTTATCTGCTATATCTGGCTATGCGGCTCTTCTTACCATTCCACTAACATGCCAGCTTACTTTTCGGGACTTTTGCACTTGTTTTACCTTAGAATGCTCTTCTCTCAGATCTTCTCATGGCTCACATCTCAATACTGAGGTATGAACTCAAATGTCTCCTCCCAGCCAAGGCCAATTACTCTCAAGTATATTGTGTCATCTTCTCCAGAGTATTTACCAATATCTGAAATTATTTTTTTAATATTTATTGTTTCTATCCTCACTCAATATTAGCTCCTTGAAAGTGGAGACTGCTGTCTTGCTCACATCTATATCCTCCGCACTCAGAACACACTTCCCGCAGTATCAGTGGCAGCCAAATATTTTTTGACAGACTAACTAAAGTCTCCAGAAGAATAATCAGTAGCGTACAGTTTTTCTCCTCTGATATTGAGAACCAGATCTGCCACGCCTACCGATGTATTAAGTATCTCACAGAGAAGGACAAAGAAGAAATAAAAGTCTATCCATGCTCTTAAGTAATTCAAAATCCAATGAAGGGGCCGGCCTCATGGCCAAGTGGTTAAGTTCTCGCACTCTGCTGCGGTGGCCCAGGGTTTCGCCGGTTCGAATCCTGGGCGAGGACATGGCACTGCTCATCAGGCCATGCTGAGGTGGTGTCTGACATGGCACAACTAGAAGGACCCACAACTAAAACATACAACTATGTACTGAGGGGCTTTGGGGAGAAGAAGGAAAAATAAAATCTAAAAGACGGAAAAAATCATAGTAATAAAAAAAAATCCAATGAAGGGGAAGAAAAAAACCAACATACACCCAAGACACTAAAGATAATTATTTACAAGGCAACTTATTGTACACCATAAATTATATTTACATTTGTGAATATGGTAGAATTAGTCAGGAAAGGCACCCTTAGGAGAGAATAATTATATGGTATACATTATCAATATCTTTTTTACCAATGAGGAAACTGAGGCTCAGCCAGCTTAAACAATTCACCCAGGGTTAAAAACTAGGAAAGGAGTCAGGTTCAAACAAGTCTCTTGATATCAAAGCCCATATTCCGGGGCCAGCCCAGTGGTGCAGCGGTTAAGTGCACACGATCCGCTTGGGCAGCCCAGAGTTCGCAGGTTCGGATCCCGGGTGCAGACATGGCACCACTTGGCAAGCCATGCTGTGGTAGGTGTCCCACATATAAAGTAGAGGAAGATGGGCACGGATGTTAGCTCAGGGCCAGTCTTCCTCAGCAAAAAGAGGAAGATTGGCAGCAGATGTTAGCTCAGGGCTAATCTTCCTCAAAAAAAAAAAAAAAGCCCATGTCCTTCTGCTAGGAAATCATTTCTGCCACTTCCTTATAACAAGAGCCTGGCTACTATGAAAGGCACATCTAACAGAAGTAAGGCTGGATAATAACAAATGGAGCTGTCAAGGACTTCTAGATTAAATTATTAAATGTTCAAAGTGCCGTGGGTCTTAAAAGACAAAACAGATCATCAGACTCCTGAGAAAAAACACAGCCTGTTTCCCACAGGACACTGGGATTGATGAAGTAGATACACAAGAAAAAGATATGCAGTCAACAATGGGATTTTAAATTTTATTCTAACTATTCTTAGAAATGGAATATGTTAGGGAACTTTCCATAGAAGCTTCCTGCCTCACTCAGATCTAAGCTGACCCCTCTGAGTGAGTTAGTAACTAACTAACTGTGTGGAAAAGGATATGCGGATATGTGTGAATGTGCACACATGTACGCATATGCGTGTACTCATATCCTTCTGCATGTGGATGAGTTGTCAATAAATCTTTGCAATTAATATCTGATGAAAATAGGATGCAATTTACAGAGATAGGTTTTTTTTATGGAATGAACATGAAAATTAGGAAAGATTAGAGAGTATAAGTATAGAGGAAAAGAAAAGAAAGCAAAAAAACTAATAGGGCTATGTTAAAGACTAGAAGATTGGAAAGATTAGAGGTCATAGGACTTAAATTATTAAGAAGAGTTTACATTACTGTTTTAGAAAATAAGGAGTCATTTTTCTGTGTTAGAAAAGTGAGCTAATAACAATGGCTACAGAAGTAGACTACTCCAATCACTTGCACAGATTGTGTTCATACTTCGTTTCTGGCACGTTTCTTGGGAGAGGCATCAGGTCTTGTATGGACACGCAGGACTCTCCCAAGTGGACTGAGTTTCTCAAGAGCCAAATCCATGTCTGATTCATCTTGCAGTTCTCAGTGCCTAGCAAAGCGTTTTGAGTGCATTTAATTTTAGGGGCTCAGTAACTATTAAATTGAATTGAATTAAATTGAAATATATTCAACTGATATAAGCCAAGCTGAATTGGAATGGTCAGGGTTGGGATCTATTTATTATCGTTACAAATTCATTTTTATTCCTCCATTGTACATATCAAAATACACTTATTTAAGTAAGACCTGCTGTGCTTACAAGAAGTTTGGAGCAATAGCTTTCTTTTTGCACTTTTATTAGGTATACTTTACAAAAAGGCTGTAACGTACTCAGCAAAAGTACAATCCACTTTACACATAGAGGGACATGAGTCATAGAGAGGTGTCACGTTATTTTTCCACAGCGTTACTTTTACACCACTGACGCCTCAAAGTGAGTCAATGGAACAGAAGAGATCAGAACTCAAAGTCCAAATGCATTGCTTTGGTCACCAAAGTTCATTTTAAAAGATTCAATCATAAAAGGAAAATTATGTAATGTGCAAATAAACATATTTGTCCAAAAAAAAAGGTACAAAGATAACTGCTTTTGGGAACAGAAGTTCCTGTTATTGCATCTTTTTTTCAGGTAAACAGAGAGCAGGTTTCTCACCAGAATGTACAGAAAACAACTCAAATGTATAAGCATCTGCTTTGCATACTCCAAAACAGGGTAGGAAATCTAACTGATGATTTTGAAGGAAATTCATCTTCGGTTACATTACCCTATTTCTACTACCGTGTTCTTTATTTTAACAGCTGATATCTGGAGGACTCTATTTCTTGTCAAAGACAGCAAGCAGGGCTGTCTTAGTCATCTTCAAGTCCACTTAACCTTCTACTACATATTTTCTAAGTTCATCTCTCATCAGAGTGTTTCATTTCACGGTAAACCAATTTGTGAAGGACATAAGAAGTATTTATTTTATCAGTTCAATCAAGTTTGTTTTCTAAACAGGTTTGTTTTAAAGAGTGAAGTTTGTTTTCAGGATGATTTGCTTCAGACTTCATGTGTTATCAATCAGAAACTTGTTTTTCAATGCAAACAAAACTAGTCATCTCGTCAAAGGTTTCAGCAGCTAACAGCGTATAAACGAGGAAGACGTAATTATTGAGTAAGGTCCTAAGAAAAAAAGAGCCACAAATGGATTTTTTCTCTTATTTAATCATGGTAATTAAAACATGAATGACTTGAATGACTTGTCTCATAATATGAACTGCAAAAGGGAGGACAAAATTAATCAAGTGTCTTTTTTAAGTTAGCAAAGGAACTCTGTCATCTCAATTAAATCTTTCAATTACCTCACGCATGGAAATAGTGAGGAGTTCTCTTAGAGCTTATATATAAAATATGTGTATGTGTGTTTATATGTGTGTTTTTGATCACTTTTGGGGTCTTAGTAAAAATTCTGTTGGTATAAGTAGAAGTACGGTCAGGTTAATAATATACCAAGCAATACATTTAAGAGGTTTAAGGATTAACATGTCAGTCAGCTCACCTCGCCAGGTAAGCAGCTGGAAATCAATCAGTATTCTCATGTCCTTAAAGATAAACAGGAAAGGAATGTAATTCCATTAGTATACATACCAACAGAGGACAAAGATTAAGAGACCATTTTATTCAACCTGGTTAAGAAAGTATAATTATCTCAATCTTGACTTCACAACTCAATGTATTCATAAAGACAAACCAAGACATCCATTCTAGCACATAAATACAATACTGATAACTTCAGTTGGTAATATCAAGGTTGTCTATTATCTAATATAAATGCACTATTAACTTTTCTTTCAGCTATTGAGATATAATTGACAAATAAAATGGTAAAATACTTAAAGTGTACATTGTGATGATTTGATATACATATACACTATGAAAGGGTTCCCCCCATCAAGTTAATTAACACATATTTGTCTTTTTTTGGTGAGAACATTTAAGTTCTACTCTCTCAGCAAATTTCAACTACAAAATACAGTGTAGTCAACTATAGGCACTATGTTATACATTAGACTCTCAGACCTTATTCACCTTATAACTGAAAGTTTGGACCCTTTTACCAAGCTTTCCCTATTTCTCCTACCTCCATCATGCCTTTTCTTCATCATCAGAGACAGACATAATAAATTGTAAATAAAGGGGCCCCAAGTGAAGACTTAGAAGAATCCCTGTTAAAGAAATAAATTTTTGCAAGTTAATGAGTACAACTAATCTTTATGGAGGCCTACTATATGCCAAGCATTATTCTGGTTGCTTTACAAATATGCCAATTAATTCTCATGACAGTCCTATGAGATTAGTACTGTTATTATCTCCACTTCATAGACAGAGAAATCAGGATGAAGGTGGAGTTCTATAAACACGAGCTCACCAAAGAAATTACCTCTACCTGGAGATGATTAAAAAAGAAATTGTGGGAGCCGCCCCGTGGCTGAGCGGTTAAGTTCGTGCGCTCTGGTTCCGCGGCCCGGGGTTTTGTCAGTTCGGATCCTGGGCAAGGACACAGCACAGCTCATCAGGCCATGCTGAGGCGGCGTCCCACAGAGCACAACCAGAGGGACCACAACTAGAATATACAACTGTGTACTGGAGGGCTTTGGGAAGAAGAAGAAGAAAAAAAAAACAGAAGATTGGCAACAGATGTTAGCTCAGGTGCCAATCTTAAAAAAAAAAAGAAATTGTGGTTAGTCACAAGTCTTACCTAGAAGAAGAAAAATAGAGATTTATAGAGATAAAGATAGATGGAGAGAGAGAGAAAAAAAGAGTTGGTAGGAAGAGGAGGAAGGATAGAAAACTAAGAAGGAAAAAAGAATCTAACATCTCCCAAACACTTCTAAATAAAAGGTATTTACAACATTCATTAAAATTTTAACAACCCTATAAGATAGGCATTAACTCCATTTTACAGATGAGAAAACTAGGGTTCATAAGGGTTAAGTGGCTGTCCTAAAATTTTGAACTCAAATCTCTGTGACTCTAACATCTATGCTCTTTGCAAGAAGCCATGGTGCAAAGGAAAATAAAATTAAGGCAGGGATAGGATGAAGGCAAAAAACAAAATTAATAAGGAATGCAGAGCTAGAAAAAGAGAGATCAACCAGCTTTTAGCAGTTTCTTGATGGATACTGGGATAAGATAGGGCATGTTGCCATAGACCCATGATGCTTTTAATATAGAATGCAGGGCTGCCAGGAGCCAGAATGGGTAGTTGATTTCAAGAATCTGTCCTTGATTCCTTCACACATTCCTCTTCTTCCCTATCCCTTCTCGTTATCAGTGAAGCTGCTGTGAGAAAAAGCAATGGTCGACTCACCTAGATGTGCCAGTCCCAAATCCAGCAATTGCAGAGTGTATACCAATGGCCTGGCGCAGCTCAACACACAGTCTATCAGCTCTTTATCAAAATCGAGATGCCAAGCCATCACTGTGCACATACCATATGGCCACAAGCAGAAGCCAACAGAACAATTTTCATATTAATGCAAAGGTAGGTACACTTCAAAAGTGACCAAAATTTTCCATTTCAAAATGACAAGAGAGTTGTAGACGAAGACTCAAAACTTCAAATTTTCTTGACAAATCCAATATATTATTTTTGACTAAAATGTCACAGGGACAAAGTTGAAAATCTTTGCCATCAACTGATATTAAGAAACAAATATAATTTATTTTGCTTATTAACATTAATATATTTTATACCATTTAGCCAGATTCATCAACTCCTTAGTAGATTTTACATTTTGCAGTATATGTGTATGTGTTTGTGTGTTTCGTGTCAATCCCGCACCAAAATTACAGCTTTGTGATCTCAGGTAAAATCTGTCTCAAAACGTACTGGGGCCTCCAGGCGGGCATGGGTTAAGGGCGAAAGCTAAACAACTAGCCTGGCTAGAGGCCTGGATGACGTGGAAGTGAAGTGAGGTCCAGAAGTGACACAGGCTTGCTCAGTGCCAGCACATGTACACAAGTGCATTCAATCTGGAGGGAACTTCCAGTTCTGAGTGGCCCACATGAGTTGAAGGAGACTCTAGTTGGAAAAAAAAAAAAGACGACAAGTTTTCCCCTCCACAGAAAGGGGGCTTTCCATAATTTCACTTCATCAAGTGGATATGGATTCAAGATATGGGGAAAGGGATATAAATCAGGAAACCAAGACAGAAGCTAAATCTGGACAAGTAAAATAGGAGGTTACAGGGAAAGCTATGACCCTAAAAGCATAGGCACATAAGTTTGGAGCAGCAAAATAAATTTCAGACTAATGTGCTGGTAGGGCAAACAACACAGCTCTGATTTACTTGCAGCATTACTTAGGCCTGACCCAGAAACTCAGAGTCACTAAGTGGAGAAAAATAAGGACAATAAAATGACAACAGCAACTACTCCTTACAAAACACTTAACAAGTGCCAGTACTATGATAAAGGTTTTAGATGCATTATTTTATTTTTTCTCACAACAAACACATGAGGTAGGTATTATTTTCTCCTATTGAGCCCCTGTAAACTTTGAATATTTACTGAGCTCCTATAGACACTGAATGTAAAAACGTTCTCATTTATAATGATCTAATAAAGAGGATGAAAATTCCAGAACATTGTTGGAGAGATTTTTCACCAGTGTTAACCAATTTGTACTGTTTCACCCCCTCTAATACTGCTGCTTCTGAACAGCTGTATTTCTTGTAATTATTACATTAAAAAGTAGCAAAGCTAACAAGTCCATCCAGGGAGCAAACTCATAATCTTGGCCTTATTGACACCACACTAAAAACAACTGGACTTGCAGATCACAAATACCCACAGCATTCAACAACATAATATCTTGATGCCTGTTTTTAAGTAGAATGAGGCAGAATCCTAACATAGAAACATATAAAATGAGACCATAAAACTGATGTCAAAAAGTGCTCAAATTTAGGGGCCGGCTCCATGGCCTAGTGGTTGGGTTCACGTGCTCCACTTCAGCGGCCCAGGGTTTCACCGGGTTCGGATTCTGGTCGAGGACATGGCACCGCTCATCAGGCCATGCTGAGGCAGCGTCCCACATAGCACAACTAGAAGGACCTACAACTAAAACATACAACCATGCACCAGGGGGCTTTGGGGAGAAGGAGGAAAAAAAAAAAAACGATTGGCAACAGATGTTAGCGCAGGTGCCAATCTTAAAAAAAGTGCTCAAATTTAAAAGTGTGAAATCATCCAAAGTCTTTGAGTTATTCTACGTTGAGAGCTGCAGTCACAGAACACGTGCATAAGATAAATAAATTATGATGAGCTATAGCAAGTTAATACAAAATTAAGAACCAGAAGACAACTAAAGAAACCCTATACTCAAAGACAAGGACTGAATCTGCTACAAAGGTAACAGACGGTCCAATTTACGTAACAAAACAGATAAGAAAACAATCAAAAACAGGTGGAATTTGTTGCCAATCTAAGGGCCAGCTGACAAACTAAAATTCAAAAGCATTATATTGTAATGCCTAAATTAAGACTTGAAAATGTCACTTTTGGATTAAGAAACCTTGAATGACAAGCCAAATAACCAGGAATAAAATCTGTAATCTCATGTTTAATCAGCAGCTGACACCTTCTATTCTAGGGCAGAACAGATGCAGACTAGGTAACGAACAGCTATTCAAACAAATACACACAGCAAAATAAACACCTTAGAAATGCCCTGATTTCCAAGGAACATGACATGGTTACGGACCTGTGTTTGGTTTACCATCAGTGGCTTAGACTAATGCGTTAAACAAATGTCTGTATTATCCTAATACATTATGTCTTGCTATAGATATAGCTGAAAAGTTAAAATTATACATCGATATATCTTTTTCTGAAAAGCATCCTAAGTACCATAACATTTAATCATACTTTTTGGGTGAGCTGCACTACCCTCCCCCTTCAATTCCAGGAAATAGTCATTTATAGAGTGTGCTCATCAGTGGAAATGAAAACACCACCAAGAATCATTACACACAGCACAAGTCTAGAAAAAAAATGAAATTAAGGTCCTCGTTAAACAGTGAAGGCTTGTCAATTAAATTACAGTTTGATATATGGAATTTAATATATATTGAATTGAATTATTGAAATAAAGCACATGATGTATAATATTTAGCATATTACTCAAAATGCCCTTCTTTTATATAAAGATACGGAAAAATTCTTATGCTATACTCTAAAGTCATAATAAATATCAGGCTACAAAAGTGTATCCACATTACAACACTTTAAAACAAATGTAGGTACAGATAAGAAAACAAACTAAGAAGAAATACAGGGGGCCGGCCCTGTGGCCAAGTGGTTCTCGCACTCCACTTCAGAGGCCCAGGGTTTCGCTAGTTCAAATCCTGGCCGTGGACATGGCACAGCTCATCAAGCCATGCTGAGGCGGCATCCCACATGCCACAACTAGAAGGACCTACAACTAAAAATACACAACTTTGTACCGGGGGGCTTTGAGAGAAAAAGGAAAAACAAAAATCTTAAAAAAAAGAAGAAATACACCAAAACGCTAACAGAAATTATCTCAAGAGTAGTGAACTATGATGGATTGCTTTTCTCATCTGTTCCCGGATACTTTTTCTAATGTGATTGCATTATTTAAATAATAGAAAAAAATCAGATAAAAATAACTTATGAAGTCAAAAGCTGATTTTGAGATACTTAGACTAGGCTTGTAAGATCTATTTCCCGCTTCTAAGTATCAGTGTTCTTTTCAAGTGCTTTCAGCTAAGTCTTCACATAGCTCTATCAATGAATACTGCAGGCACATTTCTCCTTCGGCTTTAGGTGCCAGAAAAAAAATTAGAGAAAATGTAAATGCATTTTAAAAATTCTGTGTTATTATTACTTCTGGTCTTTTTACTCAGTTTACTCCTTACAATGCTCTTTAATCCATGGCCTAGTTTAGTGGCTTGTTGCCAAGGCTGATGAGAAGCAAGGAAAGTATTAGTTAGCAATGTTTTCAAAAATTTGGTGCAATCCAATTCAGAAGGAAAATTCACATTTTTATTAACCAATTTAGTCAACATCCTCTTACATTAGGTTAAGCAACTACTGGAAAATATAATTCAATATTATTGTTAATCTCACAAAGTATATTGTAGTAACTTTACAAAACACTAAAAATCATACCAACTGAAAGTCTGTGTGGGAAGAGAAGGGAAAGGATAAAAATGGCGGATTTTACCAAAATATAAAAGAAGGAATTTAGTAAGGTAGAGCAGGATGGTATGACTTACATATTGAAAACAAAATGAGAACTAGGGACTAGGTAAGGTAAGGTTTTTCAAAGTATTTATATAGACATTTTTGTTTCACTGACAGTGGTGCAAGTAATAGATACTCAAAAAGCAAAAGAACCAAGAAAATATAAAGCACTTTACAAATTTAAGTTATAGGTTACATATTAGAGAATGTCTAATCCAACTGCTAGAGTTTGGAATATGCCCAACATGCCCATTG